GAGGAGTCCGAGCCACCATTGATCCACGAACAAGCTGACTAGTAATGATCCGAGAGATGAACACTGATTTGTCGACGGAATTTCAAGGCCGGGGTGGTGATGAAGGAGTGGGATCCATCCTCGAAGTCGTATGCAATTTTCACTAGCGTTGAACAAGTCTTCAATAGGCTTTGCATCGGGGCTGTTGCGGATATCGCGGTTCGCGCCAGCGCCATGAAACTTTTCGAAGTTGCTGACTCAGCGCTGAATTGCTCGCGAACTCATTCAGAGACTGCAGCACATATGAATTCGAAGCCACGGATAAACTACAGTACTGCCTAGCTACACATACCCCTCTACAATCACTCAAATCAAAAAGTAAAATTCGGAAATTAATGGATCCTCCTGGAAAGCCCCCGGCGTAATAAAAGAAATGAAGTCGCCCTGTCACTTCCAGTCAACTGGGTATCCCTCTATCGGCACTTTCTCGAAGTACGAGCTAGTGTGTCGAAATGAATACTTCGCAGGTCAAACTCGAGGAAGTAACTCACTGATGAAGGTCCAGCTTCTTCTCGATTCCGTCAAGCGCAGGGATCTCAGCAATAATTCCCGACGTGATGGGTGGAAGCGTAGCACTCAATTCTAGATCATTGCCTATTCCGGGAAAGGGAATTTTCAGATCGAGGATATACTGCAGACGTTATGAGAAGAAAGCCTCAGCACAAGCGAGGAATGACGAACCCGTATAGATAAATTCTCATGCTCGAACGTCGGCGAGCAGTTGAACACCATCACAGAATGAAAGCTGACTTCTTGTCTCCATCTTCCTTCCTTCTTATTATCTTCTCTGAGTATCCACACGGGTTCTCCGACTTCCACATGAACTAGACTTTCAGTGCCACCACCGGCACTCTCTGTCGAGCTCCTACCAAAACCAGCTATAAAACCTAGATCAATCTTCCGATGCATCCTGTGTTTTCGTTTCCATGCCATGGCATCTACGCGTCGAGAGAGCTTCAAATCTAAGTCCTGGGGCTTCGTTGGCGGGAGAGGGAATTTGAAGGAAGTATGGTCTGTAGAGTTGCTTGAAGACATGTAGGGCGAGAAGCAGATGACGCGGATTGAAGTGGGAATTTGTTGAGAGAGGGGGAATGATGGGAGATTGGGTACAGAGAGCTTTTGAAAGAAGGGAGTTCAGATGATATGAAACGACGACGAATAGATGAAGACGGACGAGTACTTGAACTTCTCCAACTTTCTTTTCGCCGAACATCGCCGCTTTGGTAGGGTTTGAGCCTCCCTTCCATGTTCTCATTGTAACTCCATGAACAGGAGGAGGAGGACTGTGATCAAAGGGAAGATAAACGAACGGCTTCACAAGGGTGATATTAGAGTCGTGGGAGGGGATTTCGTTGCGAAGACCTTTGACTTGCACAAAATATTGTACAGACGAGACAATGCCCTCCGCATATGTGACGAAGAGATTATCGGTGAACGAAGGCAGGAGAGATGCATCGTGGGGAAACTGGAAGGAAAAGGGGAAGGCGATGAGCCCCGAGCTTTCGGCGATGGCGGCTTGAAAGGACGGTGGTGATGACTCCTTGTCGAGTTTACTCCGTTCTGGCAGATCGTTATGACGGATCTCTGTCGTATTGTTCCATACTGAGATTTTCAGGTTGTCGCCCTCAAACAAGTTCTTCTTTTGGCAAATATGAGGCGTCTGTCCTCCCGCAGTATCAATACCTCTAGCGTGAGTCAGCTCAAGCTTGCTTTATCCAGATGCTCTAGGTGGATGGACGTACAGCCTTAGTTCTCCCACTAATTCGACCGTCACCTCCTTCAGACCACTTTTCTTTGCGAGCTCGGTGTCGACGCGAACTACGCCTGAGATCGAAGATCCTGGTGTCGCTAGGAACGGAGAATAATCCAGAACGACGATTTGGCCATTCTTAGCCGTGACAATGCTCTTAAATAGAGGGAACGGCATCTCCAGTTAAGTCGAAAGATTAAGGAAAGGTCGCTTGTAGTACACAATTGACCGCTGCTGGACGGCGAGTAGCTGTGCCTCGCTGTAGGGTGGACGCTCTGGATATTGAGAGAGCTGGGTCATACACAGCCACGGTTAACTGATCAAGAAGCCAGGCTCGTGAATAGGAGTAGTGACATTGCTCGTCGACTGATGTTTTGAGGACAAGGTGGGCGAAAAGAGAAGCGATGGCGATAGACGCCCATCGACTGCTGCAGACGAAGGATATATATTCAGGATTAAGAGCAACATATTTGCACTATAGCTAACACCGGTACCAAACATATAGAAGGGGGTTTCGAATGCAACAAGAGAAGATACATGTCCCGACATAGCGATTTTATGTCTGAACTACTCCCTCCTCAAGCTCAAACCTTCCAAAAACCGCCTGCCACCCTTCCCTCGGGACGATCCGACATTCGAATGTCTGTGGATGAGACACCGTACCTCCTCCATGCTCCACATTCATCTCTTTGACCTGTCCGAGCTCATCGAGAGGCGGTAGAATGTCGAAAACTGCGAGGAGGGATGAGATTGTGATGAACAAGGATGTAACGGCGAATTGATTCCCTGTCCGAGGCGCGTTAGTCGGAGAAGATATTACGAGGTGTGGTGGATGGTTACCTGGACAAGCTCGACGACCGAACCCAAAGGTATAATCGAGCGGATCAGGTTGAGGCGGACGTCCTGTTATGTCTTGAGGAAGATGACGAGTAGGATCGAACATCATTGGATCAGGATAAAGTTCAGAATCGTGTAAGATGGCCCTATATGCATTTGAATCATCAGCGCTTACGCTCGATGGATGATAGATTCACAAACCAGATATTCCCAATCACGGTGGTTCCTTTCGGAATGAACATCCCCTCGTATATATCGTCATCCGTCAGTCGATGTGGCAGGCCTAGCGGAACGACGGGAGGAAATCTCATTGTTTCTTTGACGAGAGCGAAGGTATATGGAAGATGCAATCGATCGGCGGACGTAGGTAGACGATCATGGGATGATATCCAGCCGTCGATTTCAGCTTGAGCGCGGGACTGAATAGTGGGATATTGAGTCATGAGGAGAAAGAATGACATGACAACCGCAACGGTCTACAATCCATAAATGTCAGCAAACCACGGAAAGGCGAAATTGAAGGCAAGAAACTGACCGTGTCTGCGCCGCCGACGTATAATGCAGCTGCGGCATATCCAAAAAGCTCTTCCATAGTCCCGCTGCCTTTCTCCCGCTTCCCTACCCCCTCCTCCTCGTGCTCGAGGCGCCTCAACATCCGCTCTACGAAACTCGGCTCAGCCGTCCCCTTCTTCATCTGTTCTTTGACCCATTCTTTAGGCTCCCGAACAAGTCGTTCGTTGCGCTTTCTCTGTTCTTTGGCGAATGTGTGGAATGAAGCGCCGGGGAACCACGTCGGTAAATATTTCACTACATTCAAAGAGGTACAAGGTCAGCATTCGGCCTTGGGATTCAGAAGGATAAGAACCGACGTAGAGGATACGAATCTACGAGCCACTTTCCGAATGACCCTTCGCTCGACAGAGCTTGCACGTATTCTTGGATTTCGGCAAGGAATGCATCCGTCGACGGATCCTTGATAGTGTAACCGTAGCTAACGCGTAGAATGATCGCAGCTGCATTCCTACATCTCGTCCATTGATCTCGTCAGTCTCGACCCTTCTATGAACAGAGTTACAGATATGCTACTCACGTTTTGATGTGAGTCAAAAAGCCCTCTGGATTGTCCTTCAGCATCGATAAAAACTCGTCTCTTTGCTCTTCCATCACTTTCACATATCGCTGTTCGCCCGATCCTCCAACTTCATCTGCAATCAACTTCCGATATATTTTGAATCTACTCGCGTTCAGGGGAGTCCTAAAAACGGTTTGATCTTGACCGATGAGTTCGCCGAACATGATCGTGGAAGGACGATCGGAATAAATTCTTGAACGTTTGTTAAGGAGGTCGGAGGCGATTTTGGCAGAAGATATTAGGAGGAGGGATGTTCTGCCGTAGGTCACATACATCAATGGACCTGAACATTTGCATGGTGAGAGAGAAGACTAGTTGGAGAAGACGAGTCGGATGATACCTGATTCTTTAGCCCATTGCGCGTATTCCTCCCAAACTCTCGCTCCGTTCTTTCGAGCGTTCGCCAGTGAACTACCGAAAGGCGGCCCAGGAGGTAAACGAGCCCCAGAGCCATGATATTTCAGTCCAAAAAGACTCTTAATCCTGCTGATCAGAGCTGGGCGAGTAGAGATGACGATGAAAAGGATGAATAAGACGATGATTTCCGAAAGCCACATAATTTGAAGCGTTCAAATTCAACCACTGCCAATGGCCAGCGAGTTATCTCGGGTTGGATAATCGGGGCAGAAACTGGGCCTTGGACAGTGGAACAGCATCTTGTCCCTGCTTAAGACCGTTTCCTGTTCAGGGGACATAGCTTCAGCGAGGTTTTGAATTTGCTTCCGCTAAGCGCTCGTCGCTACACGGAACAGACAGTTCTTCCAATCTTGCTGCTTCGGCCGCCATCACAATTCGTAGAATTTGTTCCCCCTTTCTTATATAGCCATACGATAGAAGTCGAGTAGAGAATCAGCTAGGCATAACGTTGCAGCACGTCCTACAAGTACATCTATCCTTGCTTGTTTGGCAAGTTTTTGTACCCGACTCGGGAATATATATTGCAGCACTTTAAATTTGCTTGGCGTTGGGCTTATAAGAGTGTAGAGCGACTGGAGGCCGACTCGGAATCAGAGCGAGTGCTGTTACCTCAAAAACTTGCCCGAAAATGACGGAGGCTTTGCCTCCATGTTTCCAACGTTGACCTGACAGTCGCGGTGCTGGAAAAACCAAAATAGCGTGACAAAACTCCTGGCGAAAGAAAATAATAGCACAGCTAAGAGAAAGGCAGGTGGATGGCTCCAACAACCGGAGGGGCCCTGCAAACAAGTCACAAAGATATCCCGACTGACTGGAAATGCAAAAGGGCCTGGCCGGGAATTGAACCCGGGACCTCCTCGATAAGCGCACAAGCTCCCTAACAAGGAATCATACTACTAGACCACCAGGCCGATGCAGGAACGAGCCACCCGAGCGCATATATAGTGAGCGCAGTCGCTCTCAAAAATGGAACGGCACCTTTATGCGTTCTTAGAGCGATCGGGTGCGATAAGCGCAGAACTCCAAAAGTACGCTCGGTGAGATATTCCTTGGGCATGGAAAGCAAGCTCACTCTCCCTTTACAACCACATATAACCTACAGAGTGTTTTTGAATGTACCAGCATCGCTCCGATCTCATCATCCGTCCTGCAGAAGATCCAGATGCTCCTTTCCTGATGGAGCTCATAAACATAGCCTATCGTGGCGAACAAGGATGGACAGATGGACTGGACAATATCAAAGCGCCTCGGATCGAACTCGATGATCTACGCGCTCGAATATCCGGATCGGAAGAAAACGACAGTGCCCGGCGAAATGCACCGATTTTCGTTGCCGTCCTTCAACCAGAAGGTGTTGTAGCGGGATGCATCCAACCATACAACAGCGCCAAAGATAGCCCTCACGGATCTAATGCTAATTCTGAGGCCAATCTCGAGCATCCATTGACGATCCAGGGACACTGTGAGACCTAGGACGGCTAAAAATCAGCCGTCTGTCCTCTGATCGACCTAAAATAGCGATCGCGTGTCTTGTTTGGCCAAGTCGCGTCGTGCCAGGCGCCCGCTGATTTTCCTTCAGCGGTTTCGGGATCGCTGTTTCGGCTCGCCTGGACGACGCGACTGGGCGAAAACTGCTAAGTCCAACCGTGCTCAGATTCAAAGTCCGACATCATCCTTGCCCTCAACCCTCAACGGCATCGACCCTCACCTGTTCACACCTTTAGCTCGCCTCAATCTCTCAACATCGTTGAACGCATTGCTCATCGACGAGCTTCATCTAGACTACGTTGGTCTCCAGAGGTGAGTTTATCTCGCTCTCCTATCAAATTTCTTCTCTCATGCAGCGCTGAGTCCCAGGCGCGGTATGTTGAATCCCGTTCACTATGACTCTCCCGGCCCGCTGTCAGACTTGTGTGGTCTATCAGGTACGTTGACGAACCAGCCTTCTTGCATCAATACAGTGATTAACCTTGGTATTGTAGACAAGATGTGTTTTTTCTTATCATCCTCGAGGTTCGTCTTTGTCACCATCATTCTATATCCTCCCTGACACATTGTTTCTTTTCGACAGTATATCTTCCGTGTTTGCATGTCCCAGAAGGAGCGGGCTGAGATTCTAGGAAAGCAGATATCGCGAGTCGAATGGTTTTCGAATGCAGTTGATGAGGATTGGCAGAGGACAGATCTCAAGAAGTTGGGGACGAGTAGAGGATATGGGAGAGGGGCCGGTACGTGAAGCTGGCCTATGAGCACCACCGCGGCGGCGCTCGGTGTGTCACCAAAATGGTTCGGTATGTATCAGTATGGTTCTATGAATGTATATACTATTTGCTTCAATACATATTCATTTGCATCAAAACAAGAGTGTCCTGAAGCACGCGTGCAGCAATCTAGAGTCCGGATTTACATATGAAAGAGCAGCGACGAGTACACGCAAAAAACAGCGAAACCCGGCTACCGTCGTGCTTGGTGGTGCGCTGAAGTGGGCACTTTTTCTTAGAAATATTCAGCGGTCTGACTTAATGGTGTTGATCGCTGCTTTTTTTTCAGCCCACCCGAAAAATAGTGTTCCGTATAAACAATAAACAGCGATTCGATCGCTGTTCTGTTCCGCTGAAATTTAGCCGTCTTAGGTTACACAGTGGGATACATCGAGCTCTTCGCAGTTCATCCCGACTATCAATCGCGAGGGATTGGAAAATCTTTATTGAACTTTGCGTTGGATCATATGAAAGAGGCTTGGAACGTCTCTGTTTGTGTCATATATGTGTTTGAGATCAGACCCAAGGTTTTGGCATGGTACGAGAAATTGGGATTCACATGGGATGGGAGGACAGTTCCGGCGTATGAGTTCCAGCATTTGATGATAAATCCAGATATAGTGTTGCGAATTCTCGAAAAGCAATTGTAAAACCTTGATCTTTCCTCGCCGGATCCACGAATCTGCGTTGATCAGTATATAACGACCGTCGGTTCATATTCTACACACTCCTTTGAAGCTACTGTATCTGATATACTGCCGCGATTACTCGTAGATACCCAACAAGCATCAGTCAAGCTTGCGTCCCTATCAGTTTAGTATAAAGGTCGTGTCCGGACAACCACATTCGAAACCATCCGCCTGTGTCCTTCAGTCCCGTCCTGATGATGGGTGTAGTTTGTCGAGCTGGGATTCGGATCAAAGGGTCTTTCCGAATATTATGAACCCAGCCTGCCTGTTCAGAAAGTTCCATCTCTTCGGTAAATTCTGATAGCATAATAATCGTCTCGAGTTTAGGACACAAGAATTCGTTGGTGGAATCCTGGCGAATGCCGAAAGTGGTGAATATTTCTCCACTGATAAAGTATCCGAAGAGATTAAGAGTTTGAAGCTCTGGCATCTTCCGAACGAGCGACCAGAGAGAGACTGAGAGGTCGAAGACATCTTTGCCTTTCCGCGTCCCGAATGTCGTCAAAGCGTTGAACTGGTCGATTTTCTCAACGACGTGCAGCGTGAAATAATCAACGACGTGCTCGTTAGGAAATCGGCCCAGTGGTTCTATAGCCAGAAGGTGCAAGGCCGGAAAAGAAAAAGACGCCAAGAGGATATAAGTGAATGACTGATTCATCTCGAGCACCAGCTGAGTAAGATGCTCAAAGGCTCCACGCCGTACTATTACGGGGGCCCAGTCGTCCCGAGCATCTCGGATAGCGAAGTCGAGGAACTCCAAACGGGGGCAGCCTTGAAGAAAGTCGAGGACGATCCTCTGAGCCACGGGTGGATGGGCAAATCCTAAGGTACCCGAAATTGTCAAGTGCGTCGTGTTAGAAAGTTCGAGGGGTCGGTTCCAAGCTCCTGAGAACTGTACGAGCTTTAGTGAGAGTGTCCGGCAAGTTCTTCCAAACTCATAGATGTCTCGATAGGGGATGGTTTCCAAGCTCGCGGCAAAATCGATATAAAGGGAATCGATTTGAGTGCATCTTGTCAGGACCATTCCAAAGAATGTGTCAGGGATGTAGCGGAATGCCCAATTGAATCGATTGAACGTGAAATTAAGTGTGCGGAGCGATTCAAACGGTATGCATGATGCAGCATGTGAATCAGCCCTATAAATATCTAGGTTCACGATGTACAGATCCGTAAGAGCTGGTAGGCCTGTCTCGTGAAGAAGGTTCAGGATGGGGTGAAACAATCTAGTGGCAGGCTCTGGTGGATCGGGCGTCCGATTTCGGCGGTCGTCATGGAAAGATCGTTCCGCAAATGCGCTCTCCTCGATAAGAGTGAGAACACGAAGGACAGGGGCGGAATAGGGATTGGGTGGGATATTGGTGGCCTCTGTCTCGAGGCCTCTAGCAAGCGACAAGTAGAGGTGTGTGCACCGCGAGAGACCTTGGGCGATCACCTTGAAGCCCTCAGCATGACTGTGCCAGTCCTCGGTATAGTCAACGTTCGGACTACGTCTCATGAACTTTGTGAGGAGTGTTATATTCAGAGGGCATTGCTTGGAACGTGTGAGTGCCAGATGGGCTAGATGGATCGTCCCTTTTCCTCGCATCGTAATTTGGACCCAGTAGCGAGGGTCATTCACTACGTGTGCGTTGAAATAGGAGGAGACGAGGCGAAGGCTTCGGATGTCTTGGGATGAGTACATACAACGCCATCGCGGCGTCTCCTTCTGAGTCACGGCAACGCTCCTGTGGAAATCTTTGAGGATGTATCCGTAGATGATCAGATATAACAAGTCATGGGAGAGTTGTTCAATGGGCATCCTACGATGACGCTGAAGGTTAGATACTCATATTTCGGAACCATGCAGAGAAGAGACCTTCGGTAATTCAGCTGATCAGAGCAATGAATCGAATGAACGTGGCAGGTCCAGGTCCTTACCCGGTATCCGACCGGAAGCTCTTCGTCACCTCAACCGACGGTGCTCATGCAAGGCACTTGTCATAATCAGTTAAGATAGGGGCTGAAAGTGTCAGAATGTACGTGACTGACATGGTATACGAGTTCTAAGCATCTGTCTGAAACTCTGATCTCCACAGAGAATCATCGGCCAAATGACCCCAATAGTTGGACTCGGACGAACAATATCACTGGCAAATGCTACGCGTCCTTGTTTTCATAGAGGATTTCTATCGCCGAATCATCTCTATGTTCAACGAGCGATCCGAAGTATATCATTTGCTCGAAATGCTTTCTACGGCTAACATATTTTCTAGCTCATGCTCCTAAACCTATCAAATTGGCATTCGCATTTGATATAGTATACCTATTTTCATCGGCGTGAACAGAGATCAAAGGCTCACGGGCTGAAGGATGGCGTACTGGTTCACGATAATCAAGCTATCCCGGCGGGCCAGAGGGTGTTGAAGTTTCTAGATGGCGCCAATCCTCTTAAACTGTTCGTTCATTTTCTTTCAACGAGCTTGAATCGTCCCTCATATCCTCTTTGCGTCACAAGATCAATTCCATATATCCTCGTATGAACCACGCCCTCTTCCTAGCATCCAATCCTCACGCGTTCGTCAACAAGTAGATAACAAATGGTGGGGGTCGCACTGAATTCGAACGTGCCACAGCCCTTTCATCAATCCTTCAACACAAGATATCCCCGGATCATCTCGTACAGTCGCATACGGTGCTCAAGAGTGTTGTTGACAAGTATCATAACAAAGGCGTATTAGTGCTAGGAGGACTGGAGGGAATCAAGGACGTGGCACACGGGTAAGTGCTCACCTCGGATCCGATGCAGTGATGTCTCTGATAGCGTTTGCAGGTACGGGTTCAAGCATGTTTATACATCGCACGACCTACTCCGCATAGTCCCTGGGTACCTCACTCGTCATCGAATCATTCATCATCTGATTCATGGAATAGGATATGGCCCTTCTCATCAACATCCTCTCCCTCGTCATCATCGACATCAAC